TCTTCGTGGAAGCTCATTGAAGATATTACATTGTGTGAATGTTGGGTTCACACTACTCATGACCCGATTACGAGTAATGAGATGGATAAGCGAGAAATGTGGAGTAAAATTACGAAAGCGTTTTGCGATGTACATGGAGAAAACGCCAGAACTAGTCAAGGTCTTCAAGGTCGTTGGAAAAAACTCAACGCATCATTTACTTGTTGGAAAAACGCCATCTCTCATGCTTCCGGTAACCTCCGTAGTGGGACAAGTTTAGCGGATCAGGTAACAATATTTTTATTTATTTATATGCATTCCACCCACATCAATATTTTTATTTATTTAATTTCGTATATAATTTTTATGTTATTTCTTATGTAATTTTTATATGCATTCCACCCGCATCAAAATTTTAATTTCTTATGTAATTTTTATTTAATTTCTTATGTCATTTTTATGTAATTTATATGCATTCCACCCTTATCAATATTTTGAATTTATTTATTTGTGTTACACCCGTATTTTTTAACACTATGTTATCCCACTTTTTTATAGACACTACAAGCTCAAGCATTCTACAATTCAAAGAACGGGAACAAATCATTCACTAAATGGGAATGTTGGCAAATTGTCAAAGATTGCCCTAAATACAAAATTGTGGCAACTGGTCCAGAAGTTGTCATGCACGGTATGGGTCTACATAGTTCTCCAGAACCAGACATGGCCGAACAAGAAGCCGACATATTTCAAGACACGGAAGGGACGCCTGAACAAGTGCCCCGAGACCCAACCCACTCGTCAGTCCCTAAGGCCTCTAGGTAAAAAGGCGTCAAAGAAAAAAGGTAGTTCTTCCAAAAATGACTACACTAAATATATGGAGGAACTTGCTCGCCAAGGTGAACTAAACTTGGCACGAGAAAAGGCTAGAGATGAGGAAAAAGTTGCTGCTATGGCAGCAATATTAGCAGCTACTGAGGCCCGTGATGCGGCGGCTGAGAGACAAAGAGAAGTAATTAATCGAGAGAACGAGCTGGTTAGAAAAGCACTTCATCGAGAAAATGAATTGCTTCGAGAAGAAATGATGGCTCAAGCAGATCGTGACACTATGAGCAAGTCTCTAGTATGACTGTCTCCGAATTCTAAATATTTTTGGACATCGGAAAAAAAAGATGTCATGCGTAGGAGGCGTGCAAGAGATGCGGAAACAAGTCAAGGGGGTTCTAGCTACACAAATCATGGCAACCAAGATCCTAGCACCACATATCCTAACTCGAGAGACTTTATTTAATTTCTTATGTATTTTTATGTATTTTATTTCTTTTTTCTAGTAGAAATTTATTTAATTTCTTATGTTTTTTCTTTTTTTAGGTTTGAACTTTATTTAATTTCTTATGTATTTTTTATGTATTTTCTTTCTTTTTTCTTTTGAACTTTATTTAATTTCTTATGTTTTTTCTTTTTTTAGGTTTGAACTTTATTTAATTTCTTATGTATTTTTTATGTATTTTCTTTCTTTTTTCTTTTGAACTTTATTTAATTTCTTATGTTTTTTCTTTTTTTAGGTTTGAACTTTATTTAATTTCTTATGCAATTTTAATGTAATTATTTATTTATTTATTTATTTTTAAAATTTTATTTCTTTTGTACTTTATTTAAACACATGAAATAAGATTACATAAACTCACCAAATAAATTTAAAAACAAAACACATTACATAGAATTACATAAACTCACCAAATAAACTTAAAAACAAAACACACTACATAGAATTACTTAAACTTAAAAAACAATACAATTTATTCTTCAACCACAAGCCTCATTCTAATTATCTTCGCCTCCATGCAATCCCTACTGGTGCTCAATCAAGTCATTCTGGCGGGTTACGTGCCAGTATGGCTCTTGCACATTAGTGTACCGCTGAACGATCAATTCATTGTAACGTCCATCACATTTCAACGGCTCGTGTTGCACTGGATCTTCGGTCCGGTCATGAGCACAATAGATACGTGTTCTTGAGTTGTTCATCGGATCCGGCTCATATTCATCGACGGCATCATAATCATACTCATCTTCAACAATCATGTTGTGGAGAATAATACACGTCATCATGATGGATCGAAGAGCCTCGACATCAAACATTCTAGCTGCAGCCCTGACAATCGCCCAACGAGCTTGCAGGATACCAAAACAACGCTCGACATCCTTCCTACACCCTTCTTGACATTTTGCAAAGTGTTTTTCCTTTTCAGTCTGTGGATGTGGCACTGTTTTGACAAATGTTGACTACCTTGGGTAAATGCCATCTGCAAGGTAGTATGATCCCTCGTATTGGGTACCATTAACCCAATATGTGCATCTCGGCGAGTTTCCTTGCAGCAGTTCGTCGAACACTGGGGATTGGGCAAGGACATTTAGGTCATTCTGAGCTCCTGGAACACCAAAAAAAGCATGCCAAATCCATGTATCAAATGAAGCCACCGCTTCCAAAACGATGTTTTTGGCTCATTTTCTGTCGCCATATGCTCCTTGCCACGCACTTGGACAGTTTTTCCAAGTCCAGTGCATGCAGTCGATGCTTCCAATCATGCCAGGGAAGCCTCGCATCTCACCCTTCCTCAGAAGCCTTCGCATGTCCCTTGACGTGGGTGTTCGGAGGTACTCTTTGGTGTAGAGGGCTTCAATTGCAAAGCAGAAACGCATCAGGGACTCCAGAACAGTTATTTTTCCCATCCTCGCGATCTCATCCACTTGATCTGCAGATGCTCCATATGCAAGCATTCGCAAGGATGCCGTAATTTTTTGCTCGGGAATGAGACCTAGAACATGAAAAGCATCCTCTTTTTGCACAAAGTATGAATCATGGTTGCAAATATCACTCATGATTTTGTTGAACAAATGTCGTTGCATTCTAAAACGCCGTCTAAAAATATGATCAGGGAATATGCTATTGGGAATACAATAATCTTCCAATAGATTTTTACCTCGTTTTTCCCTTTTTCTATCGAGGTTTGCAACACGTCTTGGTTTGGCTATCTGACCCACGGCTTCCATGACACGGCGGGAATGTGAGGCCTTCTGCCTTCTATGGTGATCATCATCATCCTCCTCCATGAAGAAAACCTCATCTCCACCTCCACCTTCCTCGAGATTGGCCATTTCTGCCTGTTGTGCCAACAACCTTTGTTGTTGCTCTTGCAACTGCTTATACACCCTTCTTGAAGAAGACATTGTAATAAGAACTCAAGATTTGAAAACGATGAACAAGGATTCTGAGCTAAAAAGAAGGATTGAGCTTGGTGTGAGGATGGATGTAGGGATGTAGGGTTTATATGGACAAAAAAAGAAAGGATGAGGTTCTGGACAATGCCACGTGGCACTACGTGATTGGTTGAAAATCTTATCGAAATCTTGGCTAAATTATTGTAAACCGGAAGTGACACGTGGCGTGTCAGGATTGGTCGAAAATATTTTCGGAAATCTATCCACAAAATAGTACGTTCGGATAATGACACGTGGCATGACGTGATTGGTTGAAAATCTTATCGAAATCTTGGCTAAATTATTGTACCACGGAAGTGACACGTGGCGTGTCGGGATTGGTTGAAAATATTATCGGAAATCTATTCACAAAATAGTACGTTCAGATAATGACACGTGGCGTGACGAGATTGGTTAAAAATCCTATCCGAAATTAAAACTATTTTATTTTTTTATTCTTTATTTTAAATGGGTTAAAAATCTTATCCGAATTAAACTTAAAAAAAAAAACACACCAAATAAATGCGTTGGGTGCCCGCATTTTTTTAGGGGTGGAGATGCCTTGGCCTATTACTGTTCACTCCAGTCTATTACTGTTCATTTGAGTGGATAAATGCGCTGGGTGCTGACGCAAAGTCCTTAGAGGTGGAGTTGCTCTAATAGCTCAAGCTCAAATATTATCTTGTTTAACTTACAATTATATCGTGTGTGAACTCATTTCTATTGTTGAGGATATAGTAGTTGCTAATGAATATAAATCTCATATGCATCTTAATAACAAATTTTGATATTAGTAGCTACCCCATAGATTCCACATCTTTGTGAATGAGTTGCCACATGAGACAGTCTTATCCAAGACTTTCTCAAAAATAGTAACTTACATTGCTCAATAACACGTCAAGTAATAATAATAGTATATTCGCGTAACGTGTCATATAAATATTTTTCATCCTTGAATGTACCATGTTGAGCAGTGAGCATTCCAACACCCCACCCTCGATGAGCCCATGCCTCATTGCCTATCATCTGAAAAAAGAATTGAATAATTGCAAACAGTTGCGAATTATGAGCAAAAAGGAATGAGCTAGTGCCTTCATTGTGGAGTGTTGGCTTTTTTTGCTACACAATCCTTGCTTTCACATTGACAATATTGGTGAAGAAGAATCAACGCCAGTAATTGAGCCACTTTCTTCAGGTTCCACTTTATTTTTGTCGAGTGGCAAAAATATCTTCAAGACTCCTACCAAGGAATCAGTTTATAACTTTTCACACTGGCTTGAAAAAGGACTTCTTCCCACTCCTCCACTAACAGAAAAACTTGTCTATCCGCATTCACCTAATCCATCTCTCATCTCAATCACCACGTGATATTTACGAAAATAAAAGGCTTGCATAAAATATAGTTAGTTTGTGTAAGTTTTTCTTTTTCTCATTTATTTTGTCTATCATATATTCATGTAATCTTTTTCTCAATTTTCCTCACCACTTGACATCTACGAGCGAAAGGGCTTGCATGTAATGAAGTTGCTCCGTATAAGTTTTTCTTGTTTGTTGCATTTCACTTCAACCTAAAATGTACTCAGTCCAGAATGAGTTCTCTCAGTCATCTCCCTTGATTTTCAAGTAAAGCCCCATGGCCTGAAATTAAATGTTCGGAAAAATCATCCTCATGTACGCTTCTCTTGTTAATTTGCTTCAGGAAAGTGATTTTCAAAAACCTTAATATTTTTTTAATGTAAATTGAATAAATCAAAATAAAATGAACGAACAAAATAAACGTGGCTTTCTCTTTCTCTTTAATTAAATATGCAGTAACAACCTTCCTACTAAGATTTCAGTGGTGTTGTAAAATACTCATAGCATTGGACATTTTCATCCTTACTCTTTACATGCCCTGCATCCCCAAAATTCGTAATTTCAACAGCGGCAGCAAGGATCTCTAGTACTTTACAAGATATTGAGGTCGAAGTTTAGAAACTCGAGCGGGTTCTTAACTTCTCAAATTTACACTATTACGATTTCAGGAAAAAGTATCAAGCTTTATCACCTACAGCAATGGTAGGGCTCATCTTCTTCCTCTGACTCGAGCTGCGGCAAGAAACTAAGCTCGGAAGGCAGCACTGCGAGGTCCTAAATGGCTTCTTCGTCTCAATCGCAGTTGGAACATCTCCACTTATTGTCCTCTCGCTACTACACACGGAATCAGTTCCATTGACAAACTTTGGAGGGAGGCTGGCTGCAGCTGGCGGTTTTACTTCATTGTCCGCTTCTTCATCATCTTTGAAGCTCTCCTGAAAAAGCTCAAGTAGTTTCTTCTTCTTTTCTGTTGGCGTTGGAGTTGGACCAGGAATTCTGTTCTCGAAAGGAGTTTTGTCGATTAGAGAGGAACCAGCGGGTAAGTACTGATGGACAGGAGTGTTGCCGCGAGATGGAGTAAAATCTGCACGGGAGGCAATCAAAGTCGCAAAAAGTTCAAAACGAAAGCGAACAACAATCCTGCATTTTATGTTTCTTGTGGCGCAAGCAAAACTAACAATCCATTTTCTCATGAACTTTTACATTCAGCTCATCGAAGCAAAAAAACGTAAAGAAAATCGTAATAATGTTGCAAGAAAAAATGGCTCGAAGCGTTCGACTAAATTCTTACCCCCATTCACACTGTAAAAATCATCTTCACAATCCGAGTCCAACCACTGCCGGGTATCAAAATAGGAATCCTCTCTACTACCTGCTCAGCTGAAACAAAATTAGGGTACTGGTATAGCCATTTAATAAAAAGCTTCCAAATGCTTTGCCTGAAACATCCATCTGACCAACACCAGCAAACAAATAGAAAACCAAACACAGGTTAATTAGATACAACTTAAGTTGGAACAGAAGCAATTAGGTACACCTTGCGAAGTTCACGACTTTTAGTAACATGAGTCAGATTCGAAACCATGGATGACACAATGAGATACGAAAGAAGCAAAGTTACACCATCTCAATGCACTAACGACGTCTAGGTATCAAATGATTCAAACTCATCACAAATATACATCATCTTCATTTCTGCTGAGTCAAATTAGAGATATGCTCCAACCAAGTAGAGTCAACTACCATCAGGGATGTGATCCGCATACCCATTTACATCGTCGACACACCATTATTATTTACCCCCTTTACATCGTTGACACATCATTTCACCTACTACTATACCAAACGTTAGTTGGTCTCTAAACACTACACATTCCCACACGTGGTCCATCCATCGCTTAGAGATTCACAAGATACTTCACGCTAAAACTGGTTCTAGTCAATAATTTCATCGATATTCATCCCTTTGAAATGAAGGGAAAGCACCACAATCTCAATAAGTTATCTATCATTTCTCTAAAAGAGAAATTTTAATGACTCTGTCTGAAAAGAGACTTTTCTTGGATTGTCTGCTATTCATAATTATTCAATTTTCGTACTAACATTAAAAAATATTGTGTCAAAAAAAATAAAGTGATAAAGAATTCATAGAGAGTTCCACTTTTAAAAAAGTCCGCTTAGCATTACTCCAAAAACAACCTAACCCTATTTGTAGCAACAAACGCACACCTACTGAACGTCCCATTGGAAGACATTGACTTCTACCAATCTCTTATGTAATCTGGGCAAACTAAGGGTCCTAAAAGTTCACATTTTTCTACATCCAGGAAGTGACACAAAAAATTGAAATTCAAGCTTGGTTTTTTTTTCCCCTGCAAAAGACAAGGGCATGATCATAAAGTTTAGGCGTACTTCTTGTCGAATTTGTAAAAATACGTGACGGATTAAAATGCTCTCTCATTTATTCTGGCATCCGAATTCGTGACGGATTAAATTGTTACATTCCTTAAAAAATAGAAATCTTTAAAGAAATCACATCACCAATTAAATCCACAACCACCTACAAGAATGTAAGGGCTATTGCCTTCCCTTCTTGAAAGCAATAGCATCATACTTAAAAAGGCAACTAAATAGATGGTGTCATAAACGTGAAAGCAATTTCTAACAGCTTCTACAAGTAACGAGGAGAAACCCAAATTTACACCGACTTAAACCCAAAAAAGTTAAATAAATAGTAGTTAACCACAAAATGATAAGCTAAAAGTAAAATGATTTTCGAATATCTTTTTTTCTAGTTGTACGTATCTCTGATTATTTCTGTCATTTGATTCTCGTGCATATGGAGAGAGAGTGTGTGCGACAATCACTTCGCACTCAATGCATAAACCTTTCATACATCTTATAATACAAGAGATCAAAAACCAAGCATAAGCACATGTTTTGATATTTTCAAAAAGTTTTGCCTAAGTTAGCGTGAAAATATGAGAAATCCAAAAGGCACATTTGATTAGTTTGACCAGAGAAGACCAAAAAACGAAGTCTTTTTTGTAAAAAGTGTGGTTTTTTACCGCAGTCCCGGAAGGTGGTGGCGTTGGCGGTGGCGTGAGAGGGCGACCATTGAGATTTAAGTGGAAGATCGGCAATCGGACGGTCACCATTGGAAGACAGTTTATCAACCTTGACTGGGAATGGTGGGATGACGAGCTTGTTGTCGGTTTTGGACCCGAATGAATGTCGGAGCTTCAAGACGGAATCTGCGTCCTTATGAACCGAAACACATGAACCCATCTGCCTATATATATGTATATCTGTTTCTATATATTCTCTAGAAACCCAATAATTTTCTCAGTGCCACTCCGAACACCACGCTTTTTTGAGAGAGAGAGAGAGAGAGAGAGAGAGAGAAAGGAGAGAGAGTAAAGTATGAGGAGGAGGAAGAGGAGGAGGAAGAGGAAGAGGCAGAGGAGAGAGGGCGTTTTTTGGCGTTATGCTTGGGACTACTGAGTGCCCAAATGCGTTTCTCGCGCAGAGAAAGAGGAAAGAGAGGAAGGAATTGAAAGGTAACGCTACGAGATGGTGTTTGTTTTCTACTGTTCGTGTGGAATAGTGGGTTTATAGGGTTGTGGTGCCCCACTGGGGCCGTTGAGCTTTTCCTCTCTTTTCTATAGTGGGAAATTTGTGGCGCCTGCTGATTCTCTAAAACTCAAAGCTGACCGGTGAGTCTCTCAACTTTTTGCTCTAGGGTTGAAAACTCTTTTAATATAAAAAAACTTGCCTGTAACGTAGACGTCATTGTAATTAACTTGAAATCCATTGCACTGTCATTTGATTAATTTACTAATATGAGATGGTGTTTCATTACGGTATGTCATAGTGCTAATTTTTCGGAAAATTGTATATACGTGTGATGAAAATCTTTGTTACATAAGTTTTTTAGAAACGAAGAAGAAATGTTGAAAGTGATTAAATTATTTTTTATTTAAAATCGTGAACAGAAATTTGAGGGCATAAAATCACTATTAAGTCCTTGAATCGTGCTTTAATTTTTCTTAACTTGTGTCACTCTTAATATATTTTCTTTCTTTTTATTATAAAGTCAATGTTCTTATAAAATTGTTGATTGAAAAAGCACTTTGATTTGCCATACTAAAAATGAAGCTTAATAAGGCAGGCCAATGGTCAAAACCTGACTTCAACTACGAGCATGAAAATGCACAATTAAATGTGATTACTACAATAATCACGCTTAAATTAATTATTGTTTGTACAAATACAAATAAATATACATGCATACCAAACTCATCTCAAGGCCAGGATAGTACAAACACTGTCAATCGAATTCACATTATTTGTGCACATTTTTTTTAATTTTCAATCATTAAATCACTAAATTAAAAAAATTAAAAAATTAAAATTAACAGAGTATATAAAAAGTTATAAAAAAAAACATGTAAATAGCATCACCTAATAAAAATTAAAATCGTGCAGTTTGCAGAGAGTGCCGTGCTTTTGACAAGACGAAGCATAGCCAGTAGGTACCGTTTGGTATGTGGGACGGGACAGAATGGAGTGGGACGAGGTGTTCCTTCCCATATTTGGTGCGTCTAAAACGGGTGGAACGCGTTGTTCCACGGGATGAATTTTTGGTGAATTTTCGTTCCGCCTTACCCCTGGAACAACTCGTTCCACATCCGTGGAACACAAAATTATAACATCTCCGTCTCCTTCTTCTTTCTCCTTGTTTCCATCCGAGAGCATCTTTGCTCCCTCTCCGTTCCGTCTTGTCCCGTCCCGTCTGCATACCAAACGATACCTTAGGGAAACGGATTCTCTCTAGACCCAAAGGAATTGAGCTCAAGACTCAAATAATCCAAGCTATTGAAATTTGATCAATGGTTATAATTATTATAATTTTAGAAGAATTCCCTGTTTGTAGCCGTTAAATTAAATTTTAATGATTCAGATTATTTGATCATTAGACTGAGTTCTTTTGGATTCAGAGGAGATCCGGTTTCATAGTTTAGTAAGATCAGCAGGACACCTCTCCTCTCCGTGTTTCGTTTGAGTTTGACAGCTTTGCTTTATTAATGAATTCACTTGGTATTCTTTTTAGCCGACGTCTTGTCATTTCAATTTTGTATTATCTCCCCACTTATCTAATTAATCTAATCTAATATTGCATGATGACATTACAAAAGACAAATTGAAAGAGGTGTGTGGCTAAGAACATCAGTTGGGTGAAGTTTGAAAACGATAGAATTCAATTCACCCAACGCCAAGGGCCAAGGCTGTTACAAAATTGACCATAACCTAATTAACTTCTAAGAGTGACCCACCACTAATCGCACAATATCGTCTCATACTTGTATGTACCACATACTAGTATTACTAGTATTGTATGTGTGAGACTTTATCATACAAGTTTCTATACGATATATATATTAGTTGTAAAACTATTCGGTGTCATGTTGTCCTTTTCGATGTCAACTATTTTACATTTTTATAACAATGTTTCAAAACACACGTTCAAAATCCGCTGCTGGAGTGGAAGCCAGACTTGTTACCAGGAGGAGGTTAAAATGACTCTATAAATCTTCCCAGACTCCGAATGGATAACCGTGCCTTGCTATTCATTGTCCTCTATTTTTGAAAAAAAAAAAAAAAAACCGCATCAAGCTCCTCGCTGATGTATGGGTCATGGTCATGGGTAAGAAGCAAATTTACTGAAAATTTTAGAATGTGAAATGAATATAATTGGAGTTTGTACATGCTTTTAATGAACTTCCAAGGTGCATTCTTAAATAGATGATCATGATTTTCCCGAGTCAGTCCAAAAACAATTCGTTATTTCACGCCAACGAGCTTAACCATTATCAATATGACACACTAAGCCTCCACCAATATGCTAAATTTTTGTTAACCTAAGCTTAAATGAAGATAAGGATTTAGGGTCCTACACCTAAGAAAAGTATGTATGGATACGTGTGTGTAACTTATGCCACAAATCACCATGAAGTCCTTCGTCTTGTAACAGAAGCAAAGTTCATTTGCTTTTCCTTTTAATGCGATAAGTGCCTTTCAGTTTGCCCTGCGTAGGAGTTTGGTAGTGTTTCCGTTTCGATTGTTCTCCTTCCTTTGTGTTTATTTACTTTTTTATTTTTATTTTTTATGCTTACTCATCTCTGTCACGTTGACGACGTTTCTTATTTTTCAGTGTGTCAATAACTCGGTTTGATACATAAAATTTAATAATATAGTTGATTGGAAATTTGAAAAAAAAATTCAGCCAATTGAATAACGACATTTAGTGTACTGGACCATGTTTCTGTCATACTGAAAAATTTCTCTTCATACATGAGAGGCAATAATTGGTAAATTGTAGCAGGAATGCAACACTTCACTGAACCTCAAGTTTCATCTGCTTTACTCCAGATGGGAATGTGTAGTACAAGTCCACCAGGATCAATCGCACCTCATCACTCAAACAAAAGAAAAATGCTTAGATTCTAAGTTATACATGTGTGCACGTAAAAGCACAACACACTCATGCACGAATAAAAAAATCATGCAAAATGGTAGTAGTTGTGTTCCAAGAATCCTTTGCACAGGTATTAGGTAGGGTTAGGTTTCCATAATATTAGAGGGAAGATGCGTGAAAAATGCAGGCTACGTATTCTTGAGAAAGTTTATAAAATTGACAACTGCACCACGTGGTTGCTCGACCAAAATGCAGTGGAGTTAGACTGCAAGGGGTAGGTCTGAGTGAAAACGCTTTAAAATGACTTAAAATGTTTTTTGTTTAAAGTGTCTGAATTTCATAAGCATTTGAAGTAATTCTTACAAAAATCATCAATTATATGCTTCTTGTACAAAGCACTTTAAATGTTTTTCAAAAATTCACTTACATTTTTGCTAAGGATTGGTTTCAAAAATAATTTCATTAAAACTAAGCAGTTTTAATTATTTTAAAAACATTTCCAAACGAGTTTCAAAATTCATTTGAATTTTTTTTATTAAGATTGGTTTAAAAAAAAATCAATCATTTTAAAAACACTTTCAAACTAGTAATCACTACATTTTACTAAAATTAATTTTAAAAACCTTTTGAACAAAAAAATACTTCCAAACTACACATAAGCGGAGCCGCCCTGTATGTTAGAGCACTTATAGTGTAGGAAGGCCCCCCATGGTAATTGGCAATTGAATCCCCTTTAATAAACAATAACTGCCTTTAATGGACAGTAATTACCTTTTGCATCTCCACCTCTAAAACTGAATAGCGATGGCAATAGGCAATAAAATATTAATATTTTTTATGTTCTAAAATAATAAAAAAAAATTTAAAAATTTCTGATAGAATTTTTAATCTATCTCATCACGTCCATGTGTCATTATCCAAAATTACAATTTTTGTAGATAGATTTCGATAAGATTTTTAACCAATTATGTCGCACAACGTGTCCTTCCATATTTAGAATTGTTGAAAATATTGAAATGTGGTGTAAGGTGGGAGAAAATGGTAAGGTATTTATAGAAAAAAAAATTATTTTTTGAAATTTTTAATTTTTGTATTAACTTAATTAAGCTGAACCGTTGGATTACAAAAAAATTTGAAATCCAACAGTCCAGATTGTGACACGTGTCCTCCCAAAACATTTCTGTCTTTTTTTTAATTTTTAAAATCGGAAAAATCTGGATCGTTGATCTAGAAATCAAACGATCCAAATTCAACTACTACTTAGAGGGCTGCAACACGGGTCCCACCTCCTGAAATCTTGTCGGTAACGCGCCTCATGCGTGCGTATTATGCACGCACCTAATCCAAATTTTTTAATAACGTGGCTAACATTAGCCTTGCATCACTCCTCCTCAAACGCTCAAAGTCTTGGAATTCCCGTCTGCCCTCTCCCATGGGCTCTCCATAGCCCAATTACCCGATTAGGCTGGAGCTAATTTCGGAGGGAATTGGATTGCAAATGGTGCCTGTCCACAGGTCAAAAGAGCACGGTGGAAGTGCTCTTAACGACTGGTCCCTCTCCCACCAACCCCAGCAGCTATTTGTCTTCACGGATTTGTGGCGTCTTTCTCTCCCACCAAAAACTGAAAAGTAAGTTGAGTAGACCGGCGGCTTCTGAAAAAACATGGGTGTGGCGGCGAAAATAGCACCGTCGATGCTGTCGTCGGACTTCGCTAATTTGGCATCAGAGGCCGAGCGCATGCTCAAATGCGGCGCCGATTGGCTCCACATGGACATCATGGTACGCCCTCAGCCCATCTGTTCTCTTGTCTACGTCCGATGAATTTCAATGTTTTGTCACTAACACCATGTCTAATGTTTGACAAAATTCTCGTACTTTTTGCAGGATGGGTAGGTTTGATTCTTTTTTGTTGCCCTTTTAGTAATTCCCATGAATCTCAAGTGGCTGCAAACGAATTAGGTTTGCTAATTCCTTTTTGTTTAGCTAGTTCATTTACTTGGTTGAATTTTGATACAACGAAGTAGCTAATAGTTACTAAACGAAGACTTGGCGCAAAATCGAGCGCAATGTCGTTCTAGCTGCGCTCTAGAATTCATTCAGCCGACTCCACTTAGGCTTTGTTGTTGTTATTGTTCAAGTCGACTTCTTTGCATAATATATCCATGAAGTTGCTTTCTTTTTCTGTTGTTCTTATGAAACATTTCTTATGTGCTTACTGAAGACATTGTAATTAACTTGTGTTCTATGTTAATCGCAACGTTTGCTTCTCACAAATGTAAATACTAGCGGTCTTGAATTCATTTATGTTTTTTACCAACAGGCACTTTGTCCCGAATTTAACACTCGGTGCTCCGGTCATTCAGAGTTTGAGAAAGCACACAAAGTAACTACCTTGACATTGTTTTATTTTCATTTTTATCGAGCGTAAATGGATGTTGGTGGTATCATTCGTTTATTTTTCTTCGCCTACAGGGCGTATCTTGATTGTCACCTAATGGTCACAAATCCTCTTGATTATGTCGAACCTATGGGAAAAGCCGGTGCTTCAGGTTTTACATTTCATGTTGAAGTATCGAAAGGTTGGCTGTAGTTGGGAATTGAGATGTTCCTATTTTACTTCCATTCCCTGTTCGTGTGGTATTTTCTTGATACAGGAGGGACTTGCTATTTTTCCTTCATTCACTTTCGTCGTCCTTCTTTTTGCAGACAATTGGCAAGAACTTGTTCAAAGAATTAAGTCCAAGGGCATGACGCCAGGTGTGGCATTAAAGCCCGGAACGCCAATTGAAGAAGTTTATCCTCTGGTCTTACTTCTTTCTTTCTTTCTATCTAATTGTTTCTTCTTCCCCCTCCTTTTTTTTGGGTTTTTTTTCAATTTTTGTTTTGTTTTGTTTAGTTGTGTATGTATTGAAGAGGTCGCACTTGGTGCGATGGCAAGTGCCTTCGCCCATGAGCGGTAGGTCTCGGGTTCGAGACTTGGGAGCAGCCTCTCCATAAATGGGGGTAAGGCTAGCCGACATTCACCTCTCCCAGACCCTGCGTAAAGTGGGAGCCTTGTGCACTGGGTCGACCTTTTTTTTTTAGTTGTGTATGTATTGATTGGCCAGGCTTACTTGCATGACATTCAATGACCTAAGAAAGAAAATCCGATCTTTAGTCATTGTACGCATTGTTTAGTATTCAGTAGCTGTCTACTCCGGAAATATTTTCGAATGATGCTGTGTTATCCACAGATTGAAGGTGAAAATCATGTGGAAATGGTCCTTGTTATGACCGTAGAACCTGGGTTCGGTGGTCAAAAGTTCATGCCGGAAATGATGGAGAAGGTGCGCACACTGAGACAAAGGTACCCTTCACTAGCTATAGAGGTGAGTTAATTATCCGTTATGTTTCTTCTGAACTTTTCTATATAGAAGTTCTGTTGTTGCATCTCTCGACACACATTTTTTAAGAGTTGGGTTTCCAGGGACAGGTACTAAAGTTGCTTTCAATCTCATGTCACAGGTAGATGGTGGCTTAGGGCCTTCGACGATTGATATGGCAGCTTCAGCCGGAGCCAACTGCATAGTTGCAGGAAGCTCTGTGTTCGGAGCCCCTGAGCCTGCTACAGTAATATCCCTTTTGAGAAGTAGCGTTGAAGGAGTTCAACAAAAAAGTTGATACTGGTATGGGAAACACATCACAATTTGTTTTTCTTATCAACATATATTTACAGTGCACCTCTATGATCGAATTGTAGTTATCTGCGCTATGAATAATAACATTTGTACTTGTTATCTGCACATTCACTCCATGTATGTTACTTTCTCGAGCGTAATCAGGCTTATGGAATAAAATTACTTGAGCGATGAATGGACACATACAACTTCTTTAACATGACAAAGAACTGCGAGTCTACGATCCTTATTTACAGCTTTTATTTTATACTTGAATATCATGACATCCTGCAGTTGGCAATCCCTTGATACGTTGCATACATTTCTGTCGATCTTTTTTATTTGTTATCGGGTTGCTTGAGGCTATAAACACAACCGTAGTGATGACATGTTCATTGCCTTTAGGGATTTCCCACTTTCTGCGTAAATACGAATGCTGATTTTGGTGTTGCAAATCATCATGGTTTTATCTTTTGAGATCAGCTGTGGGGGGAGAGAGAACAGAATCCCACGTGCTCGGAAATTATTCGTCTTAGTAGTCAGTTATCGAATGGGGTATAAGGTGAATTTGGCCTTACTATGGCCGCCCTGTAAATAGACGTACATGAGACAAGGATGTCGCTGAGGCGGTATCTCACTCACTGTATTCTGTTTGTACTTTTTTACATGGCGATATGTAATTGATTTGGGATACTAACTCGGTAGCATTTCTGTGCATGAAAAGTTCTCCCTATGAGGGAAAATCTTTATCTGCCTGCATTTGGTATGAATATGGTCTTGTTTGGCCAAAATTGTTTTCTAAGAAAACTTTCTCCAGAAAATCCTGTGTTCCACGTCAGCGCATGTTTATTTATCAAGATTATGTTGTTCTAGAGATATTTTCAGTGTAACCGTCACACGAGGTGGTATATCACATGTTCCTAAAGAAATGATGGGTTATGTGTATTAAAAGGTTAATAATTTAAAAATTAAAAATTTCCACCACTTACATAAAAAAACGTGGTGTACCATTCGTATTCCCGTCACAGTTAAAAATTTCTCGTTGTTCTCCTGATCTGTGAAGTATAGAGCACGTGCAGCAGGCATCATATGCGATCTGAACACAATGTTTGCATTTGGCATCCACTATTGAATTGTTACATAAAACTACTTATTTTTTATTCGAGTCCATTTCATGCGAGAGAAAGAAACTACAGTCGGAAGATCTATGAAAACACATAAACTAAGACATAATTAAACACTTAATTACATAATTAATGAAACAGAAAATTGCAAGATCCGATCGATGCCTATGAGAAATGGGGAAATCTAGTTCTTAATTTTTATTAATAAGTTTAATCTCACCTGAGCATGGCAAACGGGTCGTGTTTGTTGTTTTTGTATTGTTTTTGTGTCATACATGTTATTTTAGCTGACCACTTCGTGTCAAACCTTTTATTTTTACGGGTTCTTAATAGATGCCGATAATGACCCAACTCGGTATGAGATTGCATTGTTTCGTGTCGCCTTGATGGGTTATGCAAGTAATTTCCATATCGTGTCATTTACATGTCATAACGGGTTAACCTGTTTCGTTAACTTGTTCGGTGATTCGAGTTAACCTATATTTGGATAGAAACTTGGAACTTGGGCATGCTCCAAAGTCCCAAGTTGGTACTTTGGTCAATCTTTCATTGTTGACCAGGGGAAGTGGTCAGCATGTGTTATCACGTGCCCTTCACTGTTGGGACTCTTCGGTTCATCCATTGCTACCTGTATTTCTTAATCTTGCTTTGAACGAAAAGTGCCTTCCATTATTCGACTTTGGCCCTCTTGGGATGTGCTCGAACTTTTTTTGTGAAATATGGGAATTGCTACTCATACATCCAACTTTATGGTTGGATTTTCCAAACAAATTAACCGAACTGAATCTTAGTTAGACTTGACGGACCAAAAATTTGAGAAATTATTGCGTTCGAAAATCGGATCAGGTAAACTGAATCTTAGTTACATCATATTTGTACCATACTTGACCAATCCCGAAACTACTGAGCACCGGTCAGTGTTATACCGTCAATGATTTCTTATCTTAGTCCCGTTGTCACCCACAAGAATTTCTTCAGAGAGGTTACAACAACAACAATAAAGCTTTATCCCACCAAGTGAGGTCGGTTGTATGAATCCTAGAACGCCATTGAGCTCGGTTTTGTGTCAAGTCATTCGTTAGCTCAAAATACTCCAATATTTTCTTAGAGGCTCTTTCTAAGTCTTCCTAAATCTTCTTTTATCACTTTTACCCTGACCCTAATTTCTTCAGAGAGTCTAATTGAGAGAATTCACAACATCAGTGTGTTCCAATGTTCCACTACCTCATTGTGTACACGCTTATTGGTTTCATCTCTAAGCTATGACTGAAAACGAATATTTGATCTATTGGTGAAGGGTGTTGGTTGTCAACCTAGGTTGTTCATAACCAACTTGACCTATCAATAACACGTAGGCCTTTATTTCATGCCTCACTTTTAACCTGCATCGCTGTCTCTTCCATTGTATTTCAGTTCATTTTTATCCTCAAATTTCTCCAAATCTTGCATCATTTTTATCCCTACTGATGTTGCCTGCCTGCCAATTTAGCTTCTTCCATCTTTTCATTCCGAAAGCTTAAATGATTCACGTTTGTTCTTTCGTTTGTATCGAAAATGTCAATATTTGTATGAATTATGTGGATAATATTTGATTGCACACGATTGCTATTGACATGTTACCTGCCTATGTTACCTATAGCTTATCAACACTATATCAAATATTTCGTCGTTTTAAGTAACTAATGAGCATCTTGTTTAGATAATAACTGCTTGTGATCAGTGTTAATTGCTAAATGACGGATTATGTATCAATAACACGTCTTATCCAGAGAAAAGTGTATCTGATAAGTGGCATTTGGAACTTGGGGATAAGTAGCTGCCCATTAGCTAGCATTTGGTAATGGAGGATGGATGGATTAGCCCAAGGTAAGGACTAATTAAACAGCTGGAATCAGAGGGATTAATATATACAAATTCCTTGCCATCCCCAAGAATCTTGTTCATGAACAACTTTGGTAAAATTCTCCCGTTCAAATTTCTAAATTATATTTGTATAGATCCAAAATATTCACTCCCTCAAAGTGTTTTTAAACTCTATTTATTTTTTATAGGCTCGTGTGGAACTGAGTGGTCAGCTTAGTGGTTCATCGGCATGGCTGCCGCAGCTGCTTCTTCCTTCCTATTTTTCTTCTCGCTTCTAACTGTCTCTGCATTTGAACAAAAACCACACAACATTTTGAGCTGCAAGTCCACGTCTCCCGACGCTTCCGGCTACTACTGCAACGCTACAAATGCATCATCTGTAGAGAACAAGTGTGCAACTTTTGCGATTCTTCGCACCAACGCGTACTACTCCTCTCTCTCCAATCTGAGCTCGTACTTGGGCATCAGTCCGTTTGTGATAGCAGACGCGAACGGATTTTCAGCTGACACGGAGTTTCTTCCTAAAGACGAGCTTTTGTTGATACCGATTGATTGTAAGTACGGCAATGGTGGTGTTTTTTGTGCCGAGTTGACAAGGACTAGTGTGAAAGGTGAGAGCTTTTATGGCATTGCTCAGTCACTAGAGGGCTTGACAACCTGCAGAGCTATTCGAGAGAGGAATCCAGGCGTTTCGCCATGGGGGCTTGCTGATAAGCTTCAGTTGGTGATCCCCTTGAGATGTGCTTGTCCTTCTTCATCATCTCGACTTGTGACACGATCAAGACTCTTGATTTCATATCCTGTGAGTGAAGGCGACACGATTTCTGATTTGGCTGTTAAGTTCAATACAACACAAGAAGCTATCATATCTGCAAATAACAGATCATTCAAAAGCGTTAGACCCGAAAGTTTGACACCTCTTACATCTCTTCTGATTCCGCTTGAAGGAAAACCTATACTCGGTCCCCTAGGAAAACCCCGGGAACCCAATTTGCGCTTTCCAGCAGCTAGCATCCCTGCAGTTAGTCCCCACAAGAAGAAGGCGAAAATGAACCAGATTGGATTGTATGTCGCGCTTAGCGGAGTCGTTGTTGGAGCCAGCATTGCGGTCGCGGCAGCATTCTTGCTATTTCAGATGAAGAAAAAGAAAAAGACTTCACCAAAAGGATGTGATGTGGATCTGCAACAGCTCAGCCTAAGTGTGAGGACAACAAGTGACAAAAAAGTCTCGTTTGAGGGATCACAAGCTACTTTTGACGGTCAGATCATCGAGACAACCACGCCGCGAAAGGTTCTGGTGGAGATGTATACAATTGAGGAGCTGAGCAGAGCAACCGAGGACTTCAGTTCCGGCAACCACATTGAAGGATCTGTGTACCATGGCCGCCTAAGCGGGAAGAACTTGGCAGTAAAGCGCATACAGCCAGATACAATTTCGAAGATTGAGTTTGGTCTTTTTCATGATGCCATTCATCATCACCCCAACATAATGAGGCTGTTGGGAACTTGCTTGAGGCCAGAGGGGCAAGAATCGTTTCTGGTTTTCGAGTATGCGAATAATGGATCTTTGAAGGACTGGCTCCATGGCGGATTGGCAATCAAAAACCAGTTCATTGCGTCGTGCTATTGTTTCTTGACGTGGAGCCAAAGGCTGAGGATATGTCTTGACGTAGCCATGGCATTGCAGTACATGCACCACATTATGAACCCCCTTTATGTCCATCGTAATTTAAAGAGCCGAAACATTTTCCTCGACGAAGAATTCAACGCAAAGATTGGGAATTTCGGCATGGCAAAGTGTGCTGAAAATGACTCCGACGATCAACATTGTAGTCCAACCAGCCCTGCCGCGTCTTGGAGCCTGGGTTACATGGCACCCGAATATGTTCACCAGGGTGTGATTTCTCCAAGCATTGATATTTTCGCATATGGCATCGTGTTGCTAGAGGTCTTGTGTGGACAAACGCCAATAAGCAGGCCGGGCGCTGATGGAGAAGAAAACTTTTACCTCTCAGAGAAGATCAAATCCGTGTTGCATTTGGACAATGCAGAGGAGTTAAGAGAGTGGATGGACAGCGCGTTGGGGGATAACTATTCGTTCGACGCAGCTGTCACACTGGCAAATCTAGCCAGGGCCTGCGTCGACGAAGACCCTAGTTTGAGGCCTAGTGCAGGGGAAGTTGTCCACAAGTTGTCGCGATTGGTGGAGGAGTCGAAAAGCGTGGAGGGGGAGAATATTTTGATCAGTGAGAGCTCTTGTAAGCCGCTGGTGAAGGCGGCGGCGGCAAACAATGTGTGAACAAAGCATTGGGAGGATGCATTGCAAACAGAAGACATGTTTATTGGTGCATGTCACCGGGTTCTTCTGCTTGTATATATATGTAACATCTTTGTCTCCTCGAATAATAAATGGCATTGGTACTACTAGGCACTAGCTACTTAGTTTATTGGTGCAGAGCTTCAATGGTGGTTGGTTCTATATGTACATGATTTCTTATTGCTTTGTTATATAGGAGCATGTGCTGCATTTACTATTTCATTCAAACATCAGTCAATTGAAATTCAAACCCGAGCTAACAAGGTCGTTCGTTTTGCGATTAGCAGAAAGGGAACGTCTATCGTATATGTAGCTTTATCCTTATTTTATAAAGAAGTTGTTTTCATGACTCGAACCTGTGACGTTTCGATCACAAAGTAGCAACCTTTCCATTGCGCCGAAGCTTTCATATTTCAAAATATTGAACAATAGAAGACCCTCTTGCACATGGGATGCATGTCGTGGTCATTGTATCCCAGACAACGACAAAATGTAAGATAAGCAAGTTAAAAATACATAACAATGCATGATTGACTTAAAAGTACCATAACTAGTACAAAATTTCCGATTAGTCAAGCATGAGGTAGACAATTGAAACTGCATGAACAAGGAGTAACACCAACCCTTGTAAAGAGAGAAAAAGTAGACGACTTAGTAGAAAAGCATTTTTTCAATACAAAAATGCAATATTCTAAACTAATTTGTACATATAAATAGGCGATTCGAACTCTGTAACAAAAGAGTAGAAACAATGTTCTGATGAACCGGCCTAATCCAAATACGCAGTATAGAAGCAAATGAACGAATGTAACAATCTCTGTCTCAGGTTAGATTTGCTGAAAACAGCACTAGAGCCGTAAAACCAAGCAACAGCGAATGAACAAAAATTACAGAAGTAGCAAAAACAAACCAAAATCACACTTCATATCTACACCATCCATCAAAACATCATGACCTTAAACTCATCAAAATTGAGCACCCCATCGCCGTTGAGATCAAACCTAGCAATCATGTTCTTGCACTCGTCGACGCTCTTGGACTCGCCGAGCCTACTCAGCATCCTCTTAAGACTCTTGGGCGTAATGCACCCACTCCCGTCCATCACGTACATCTTAAAAGCCTCCTTCAAGACACTAACCTTCTCTTCGTCGCATCCTCCGTCGACGAACTTGACAAAGTCATCCAACCCCAGCAGCCCGTCGCCGTCCGAGTCTAGGTACTCCACCGCCACCTCCGCCTCCGTCAGCGAGAGCTCGCCGCCTATCGCCCCGACACACTGTTGCAGCTCAATAGGTGATATCTTTCCGTCTCCGTTGCCATCAAACTGCTTGAAAACGCGCTCGTATTGTGCTACTTTATCCATTGCTAGAAACCTTTTTTCTTTCTGGAAGTTGTGTTCTTGGTTCTTGGTTCTTGGTTCTTGGTTCTGGGTTAAATATATGAGACAATGCGCGTGTCGTGGTTGACCAACCGGCTTGATGGTACTTCAGTGCGTAGGTGGTACTTTCGTAAATAACGTGTGCAAGACTATGTTTTGTAGAACAATATTTTTATTTAAGAAAATATTTGAGCTAAATATTATTAAATATCGAATTCAACATATTTCTGAGTTAAATTTAATATTTTTAACTTACAAATGAAAAAAAATATTACTTAACTGGTTTGTAGATAATTTTACATGTTTAAAAAATAAATAATTTGTCGAACAAATAATTGTCACGTAACAAGTTGTAGACAAACAAAACATTTATTATTCCAACAATTTTCTGTATATAAGGAATCTAAAAAAACGGCCAAATTAAAACAAAAACGTGACAACAGAGGAGTTGTTGGTTTACTGCACTGCACACAGATTGGATTTTAGACTTTATTGACCGACTGACTTTAATTCGAGCTTTCTGGAAGCAGCTCGAAGCAAAAGATTTTTTTGGATGCCATCTGTCGCCAACCGCCAAAAACCACCTCAACCACCAGAAGAAATATACGAAAGTGGGAAGCAACTTCCTTGATTTTAAATTCTAGCTCTTTCGATAGCCACTATCTAGAGAAAAACCTATATAAAATAATAATAATAATAATTGTCAACAGCCGACTTTGGCTGTTAACTTTGGAGTTGGCGACAATCTCTCTTGGTTTTTTTTTTTCTTCTTTTGTGTTTCTATTTAGTTATGGTTGCCCTTTCGTTGTCACAAGAAGAGTTTTCGTGATTAAGGTCATTGTCTTGCTCTAGCGAGAAAAGTCTTTGTGATGGCTATGATTACAAATCAAATTCAGATCTTTAAGCAGTGGTTATTGTTCACAGTTAAGGTTGGTTTTTGTTTTTGTTTTTGTTTTAGTTTGTGCACACAACGAAGAACTATGAAGAGAAAACTCGACATTTGTTGGAGGTGGCTCCTAGCAGTATATTTTTGCTAACAATTACAAGATCATTAGAGGTGGTGCAGTTTTTTCTCATGATGTTGTTATGGTGAATCTATGATTTGCAGGATTGTTATCTTTCTTGTGGTTCGACAATTATATTGTCTTTATAATGGTTTGTAATTGTAAATTTATGTGGTTTTTTTAGCCTCTGTAACCTCTTAATTATGTTCGACATGCTTGTTCTCTATACCTTCCCGATTGTTTCTTTATAAATTCTTATTATCTTAAAAAATACATTCTGATCTTTGGTTTGGTGGTGATTCTATTCAGATTTCTAAACGGTTTCTTTATCCACTGGTGCCTAAATATTTGATACAAGTAGCTACTTGTTCTGTTTTTTAATCTTATAAAGGCTCACCTATAAAAACTTGGGAACTTTAATGAAAAGTGTAGAAAAATCATATTTTTACATTAAAAAGTTAATTCTGGTACTATTCATTTTACCTTCTATTTTGTCTTTATTGTTAAAACTCAAAGTTTTCAAGCCATTTTCATTAGTTTTTCTTAAAAACTTAGGAAAACTAATGAAAAAGGCTTAAAAACTATGAGTTTTAACGATAAGGATAAAATAAGGGGTAAAATGAATACTACAATGATTGACTTTTTAGTGTAAAAATATGATTTTTAGTTAAAATGAACAGTACCGAGAGTTTTTCATTAAAGTTGTTTCAAAACTTTGGGTCAACCACGTCAACCCGTGGTTAGTTTGACTATTCAACGTCAATAAGTATCTCGATATGTTATCAACTATTTTATGTAGATATGTACAGATATACTTATCAACTATCCACGTAGATATCCATATTATTAATAATATCGAGATACCCGGATTAAGTATGCTATCATCTTTCTAATTTGAACATTCTTGACTTTTTTTCTAAACTGCTTGCACAATTTCTAATTTAGTTGATTTTTATTTTATAATTAATCTTTAAAGGGTGAATCAAAAAATAAATATTCCGATTATTGAGTAACATTGAAAGAAGATAAAGAGAGCTAAAATGAGAAGAACCGATCAAGAAGGTCATATATCTATAAAAGTTTAGGTAAAAAATAAATGACAATGTAACAACATCTTATTTCGTGGTAGGACAAGCCACGTGATCAAGCCGTCACACCCAAATTCTGTCTAGATGGTTGTCCCAAAAACCTTCTAATGACAAAACTAGTAGCTCCCACAAGTTCTAACACACACACACAAAACCCCATCACATGTCCAAACCTTAAGCGTTGGAACTTGGAAGCGAAAGAAAATCAAGACAATAACAAATTGATACAACTATTTAGGAGGATGATAAAACTGATGAATTGCATATACAGTCTGCAACATTGTGAGCACCAGCAGAATAAACGCAGCGACCAAAGAAATAATCGCCCACGGCGAACCGAAATGCTCGCGCCTCAGCTTTTCCATCCACTTGTTCCAGTCAGTCTTGTAATACTTGTTCACTTCGTTGCAAAGTCCCTCGTAGTAAAATCCGATGACCATCGTGTCGTTGTACAGCTCGTTGAAGAACCGCGCAGCGTCTTCCGGGCTCAGCCAGTTCACCAGTATTCCCATATCGCAAAGAAGGTCGATGTCCTTGCTCGAATCGATGAGATTATCCATCAGGACGGCGTAAGATGTTACCTTGTGGGGGCGGCTGTGACAGCATTGCTTGAAGGCGATGAGGTTCCTGAAGAGCGGCCCTGTCGTCTCGTCGATTCCTAGTGGTGGAATGGTGAACACCCCGTTTTCGAAATTTATGTTCATTATGCAATCCGAGGTTTTGAAACTTTTTTGGAATTTAATGCCGGCTTCGGACAGAGTTGTCGCGTTTGGAACCCTCTGCGGCGGCGGTCTCTCCTCGCTCTGCTGTTGGTCATCATTCCCTACTTTTCGTTTGCAGCCTAAACCTTCTTCTTTACACGGGAAAACGATCCAGGTTCTTATGAGATCGAGTATGTGCAGGGGTTCGTGAGGGAGATTCAGACACGGTTTGAAAATAAAATCGTCTGCCACGGATTGTTTGAAGAAGTTGAGGACAAGGTCGGGGAGGGAGGCGGCATTTCCTTCGGAAGTAGTATTCTTCACGGCGGTTAAATTGTATAACCGCTCGAGAACAAACCATGGCAGCTGATTTTCTAGCAGGAGAAGATCATGGAAAAGATATTGCGGCATGCAGGAGACATTGAAAACAGGGTCGTTCTCGTCTCGTTGATCGACGGAAAATCCTTTTCGAAAGAGTTCGATTAGGAAGCATCCGTCGATTATCATCATCTCAATGAAGTCTTTCTTGTTGAAATGATCCAATGGCTCTGCGTAACAATCACGAGCGCGCTTCTTGAAATCCACGACACCTGTGATCAAGTTTGCCAAAGTTATGTTTGCGTCTGCGAGAAGGCACTGTAAGTACCAGCGCTTCACCTTTTCCATGAGTTGGAATTTATCGCCACCGCGGCCTCGGTGAAGGGGTCCGATTGAGACGATATCAGGTTCGTATGCCTGTATTTTTTTTTCGCCGAATCGGATGGGGAACTCTGAATATGCAGCACGATGCTGGCAATGGCGAATGGTTGAGAAGCTTTGCTCCGATGGTGTTAGTCAATTCTTCAACGATACCGTCAGTGTCTATATGTATGGATTCCGCGGAATTATTATCATCAACTTTGCGACTTTCTCTCTTATGTTTAGTGGCGAATCTACCAAAGGACGAGGAGTGGCAGCATGAGACGGGAATCAAGGCGGGGAGCTGTAAATCCCCTTCTCTCTCGTCGGAATACAGGGCAACTGTAATACTTGGTTGTGGCTCGTGCATCGTCTTGGTCGAATTTGCAGAGGAAGGGCGATAGTTTGGTTGGATTTGCAGAGGAATGACGAAGACGGAGGAGAGAGGTTTGAGGAATGAGTATTTTTTATTGAACAAGACTTGGCTGCTGAAGAATGAGCAGCACGCCTGCTGAGAGCAGGGTTGGACATCTGTTCAAGTTATGATCTTTTTAGTCACAACTTGAACATGTGTTGCGCTATGACAGGCTTTCAGCAGGGGTTGCTGATTCTTTCAGCAGCCAAGTTAAATCCTTTTTTATTAGTTAGCCCAGCTGGCTTCTTGTGTTTTTGGAAAGAATATTATGGAAAGAACTTGGCTCAGCAGCCGACCTTGCTTACAATCAATCCGGAATGAACATGTATCCAAGTTTCTTATTAAAAAATCAAAATTTAGACACGTGTTTATCCTGAATTGGTTGTAATCATGACCGGCTGCTGAATTTACAGCAGCCAAGTTGTGTTGGAATATTATTTTCTATACTAAAACCTAGTGGAAAATCACTGTTCACTAACAGTGCTACCTGGTTTTGCCCCTGATCTAACACACGGTTTTCAGCCTTTTAATTCCTATTGGTGATGCTGACAGCATGTTCTGGTTTACATATGTCACGTGTTGATCATCCTCTTCCATTTAAGAGACAGACAGAGGAAAAGGTGGATGCATTGCAGTTGCCTGGTGGCAGTAACCAAAGCCCAACCCGGTTGGCCTCCACCGTTCATCATGTGAGAGGGGCGACTGTTCACCAGCAGTGAATTCTCAAAGCTGGCCTTCCATTCCTTCCTTGACGGGTCTTTTTTCCCTCCCTGCTGCAGAAAAATGATCTCCTTGTCCTCATTATTATCCTTCTTTTTTTCGAGATTCTTCCGCTCTTTAGCCACATGTTGATCATCCTGTGTATCTTTTTTTTCATTCGGACTCCCTCTTCGATTACAGCGTTTTTTCCTTGACTAATTCACACCTGGCAGCAATGGTACATGCCTTTCCACCGAAAAATAATTAAAAAACCTTACCTGTTCCACACCTTAACACCAAAAAATAATTAAAAAAACCAAAAAAAGATAGAAAAGGAGAAAAAGGAAGAGAGAGAAACAAAAGCTGAGCATGGATTGTGAGAGAGGGCGTCCATCACCAGAAAAAAAATTAATTAAAAAACACAACATCATGGCATCTGGAACAGTTCCCCACCACTGTTCATCACCTCCTCTTCAATCATCCTGTTCAAGCGTTGATCATTGTTGAAGGGCTCTGCTTCGACTCCTTCTCGATTTTGGAGTAGGACTTTTTTTTCTCAACTGCAATGTCGCATAATTTCTAATTTAGTTGATTTCTTTTATAATTAATCTTTAAATGATGAATCCAAAAATAAATATTCCGATCATCGAGTAACACTGAAGGAAGATAAAGAGAGCCACAATGAGAAAGACCGATCAAGGTCTTATATCTATATTAGTTTAGGTAGAAGATAAATAACAATGTAATAACATCTTATTTCGTGATAGGACAAGCCACGTGATCAAGCCGTCACACCCAAATTCTGTCTACATGGTTGTCCCAAAAAACTTCAAATGACAAAACTTGTAGCTCTCACAAGTTCTAACACACACAAAAACCCATCACATGTCCAAACCTTAAGCGTTGGAAGCGAAAGAAAATCAAGACAAATAACAAATTGATACAACTATTTAGGAGGATGATAATACTGATGAATTGCATATACAGTCTGCAACATTGTGAGCACCAGCAGAATAAACGCAGCGACCAAAGAAATAATCGCCCACGGCGTACCGAAATGCTCGCGCCTCAGCTTTTCCATCCACTTGTTCCAGTCAGTCTTGTAATACTTGTTCACTTCGTTGCAAAGTCCCTCGTAGTAAAATCCGATGACCGCCGTGTCGTTGTACAGCTCGTTGAACAACCGCGCAGCGTCTTCCGGGCTCAGCCAGTTCACCAGTATTCCCATCTCGCAAAGAAGGTCGATGTCCTTGCTCGAATCGATGAGATTATCCATCAGGACGGCGTAAGATGTTATCTTGTGGAGGCGGCTGTGACAGCATTGCTCGAAGGCGATGAGGTTCCTGAAGAGAGGCCCCGTCCGCTCGTCGATTTCTAGTGGTGGAATCGTGAACACCCCGTTTTCGAACTTTATGTTCATTATGCCGTCCGGGGTTTTGAAGCTTCTTTGGAATTTAATGCCGGCTTCGGACAGAGTTGTCACGTTTGGAACCCCCTGCGGCAGCTCTCTCTCCTTGCTCTGCTGTTGGTCTTCACCCTCTTCTTTTCGTTTGGAGCCTAAATCTTCAAACGGGACAACGATCACGGTTCTTATGAGATCGAGTATGTGCAGGGGTTCGGGAGGGACATTCGGACTCGGTTTGAAAATAAAAATATCATCGTCCGCCACGGATTGTCTGAAGAAGTTGAGGACAAGGTCGGTGAGGGAGGAGGCATTTCCTTCGGAAGTAGTATTCTTCACGGCGGTTAAATTGTATAACCGCTCGAGAACAAACCATGGCAGCTGATTTTCTAGCAGGAGAAGATCATGGTAAAGATATGGCAGCATGCAGGTCACATTGAAAACGGGGTCGTTCTCGTCTTGTCGATTGACGGAAAGTGCTTTACGAAATAGTTCGATTAGGAAGCATCCGTCGATTACCATCATCTCAACGAAGTCTTTCTTGTTGAAATGATCCAATGGCTCTGCGTAACAATCACGAGCGCGCTTGTTGAAATCCACGACACCCGTGATCAAGTTTTTCAAAGTTATGTTTGCGTCTGCGAGAAGGCACTGCAAGTACCAGCGCTTCACCTTTTCCATGAGTTGGAATTGATCGCCACCGCGGCCTCGGTGAAAGGGCCCGATTGAGACGATATCAGGTTCGTATGCCTGTATTTTTTTTCGCCGAATCTGATGGGGAACTCTGAATATGCAGCAGGATGCTGGCAATGGCGAATGGTTGAGAAGCTTTGCTCCGATGGTGTTTGTCAATTCTTCAACGATACCATCAGTGTCTATACAAACGGATTCCATAGAAGTACTATCGTCAACTTCGCCACTTTCTCTCTCACTTTCCATGACTATATATTTTCAAAAATCCTGAAACAAATTGCAAATGAAACAAATTCTGAAGTATTTTTAGAAACCAGTTATAGGCATTCATACATTTCCGATAATCACAGTTTGACAAGTGTGCCGAACAATGAAATAAAATGGGAAGATAACGGAAACATGTACCTGAAAATCAAGCAAATGCAGTAATGCAGGACGTTAGAATAAAAAGATCTAGCCTGGTGGTCATGTAGTCTTTCGTCATACGCAAAGGGAAAGTGCAGTGAACATTAAAGTTACAAATGCAGCACAGACATGTTTCTTTTGCTTTGCAGAACCAAAGAACAATTCTTTAAGAATGTACTTTAATTTTAAAGTAAAAATTTAACCAAGACATGACCATGCGTCCTGATGAATCCAATCCTCAAAGGAAGTATATACAGTGTCAGTGAGATTGCCTTCATTGTCTTTGAGGAAGGAAGGAATTTCAAAAGTTGCTGGCTTATCGGTCTTTCGGAGTAGGATCTCTCCCGTCAAATTCTCCTTCTCTTCAATCTTCTCATATTTGAATGGTGACGATTAAGTCACGTCAACATCTTGTGTTGACTTCTTCATAGAGAAAAAAAAAACAAAGTGGAAAGCGAAAGAGAGGGAATGGGAGGGGAGACGATTTGGAGGGGGAGAGAATTTCAAAAGTTGCAGCCATCGATTTGTTATGTGGATACGAATACTTGTGATACACTGCTCATGGTTTAGTTTGCATCTATATCGTTGGCTTCGAAATTATCGCTATGTGGAACTCGTCAATTCAAACGTTCAAGAAGATTCCCTTGACAACTTTTGACACGAAAGCTGAACATATGCTGCATAGTTTCGGGCATTGAAAAGTTGTTGAATAGAATACTACTGGCATATCAATTAAATGTCGTTGACACACTAAAATTTTAATCAATCCAACTACTTAATTTAGAAAACTTATTATTTCCCGATTTTCTAAAATTTAATGGCATATAATTTGATATAAGTTCATTTTTTTGTAAATTTTTAATCAAGATTAGTCCAATTTTTTGTTATTGTTTAAGAGTGCGGTTAAGCCCATCCCAGTGTCTTATTTCCACACCCACTATAAAATGATACTCTTATTGACAAATTTATCCTAGTATAAAATGACTTTTAAAGACCTAAAGACTAACCAATCATGTCTTGCCACATAATTAATTGTTATATTGATTCTTTTTAAACAAATTATTAGTTATATTGATAAAAAAAAACCTAAAATATCATAAATAAGAAAAAGAAAAAAAATATCATGAACCCCACAAGCTTTACTGGGGAAGGAAGTTCATAAATTAAACTTATCAGGAAGGGGGTGAATTCGGACTTGACAAAGCAAAGCCTCGAGGCTCGCAATAAAGCGGTGTGGAAGGTATGATCAAGCTTCACCAGAGAATAGAGCAAGTTAGTCTTCAAGATTATTATAATGTTGAGATAGATGAGGAGAGAAGCTCATAGTCCAAATTACATTAGGGGACTCATGGATTCAACACTCGTTGAACTCGATCGTGTTTGGTGTTTTGGAACAATTTGGATACCTACCATATACTGAATTTGGAGGAATTTGATGTTAGGGAGAGCTAATGCATCACTAAACTATGAGTGAGGCCCTTCCAATTTAATCACACTCTATCTTGTGTGGTCTGAATTCAAATTGGAAATGATAGAAATTGGGTACTGGACCGGTTTTCGAGATATGGTGGTGTTGCGATGGTTGCAATAGAGGAGGGGTGCTTGGTGTTGGGGATTTGGGGAGTCGGTAGTGACGATTCTACAAATTTTATGGGGAAAGGGCTGCTGCTGGTGATATTTAGAGTTCTTGGGTATTTTCATTTAGTGATAATTGTTTTTTTTTAATTTGTAATAATTTTTTAAAGCAAGAAAATTTTGAAAAAGAAATATGTAGGGTTATTTTGGAAATAATGGTGGGTGGGAAAAGAGTTGATGTATTTTTTTCACTTTTTACGGTGAGTGTAAATATAAGATAGGTGGGGGAAATAAGACATTAGAGTAAGCAGATCACCACTCTTGTTTAAATAGATCCGATAACTCCACCTAAAGTTAATTTTATTTTGTACCAAATTTACCCCTTAGGCTTATAAATTGGGAAGAGAATCCAATCTACTTTGTGGGGATCATAAGGATTCTCAAATCCTAGTCATTTATAGTATATTATACGATCAGTTTTCGTCAGTTATTATTTGTATTTAATTTTAAATAAAAAATTTAAATAATTTTTTATTATACAATATATAATAAATAATTAAAATGTGAAGATGTCTAAGAAATCAAATCCTATAAGTTGTAGTTAATCAAATGCCCGTGAATATAAAAGAAGGAATAGACCCGTGGCCAACACAAAGCAATTCTAGTCCAATGGAAAGAATTGACCAGAGGCTGTCACCCACGTGGCACCCAGGCAACGACCCTCCACCATCTCTGGAGTCTTTGACCATATATATATTTGAAACGTGTCTCTCCCATTTCGTTACCTAGGGTCCTAGAGCACTAACTAGTGAAATCATCCACTAGGACGCTGACACGTAGACAGTGCATGATAAACTGTGCACATGATACAAGTGATCCGCACCCACACCGTAATCAAAGAGTAAATAGAGTCGGTGTCATAATTGGCCTCCACTGCTTTTGACATCAACAAAAACCCCGAACTTTCTCTCTCTTCCTCCTTCTCTCCCTCTAAAACCCTAGAGAAAGTGAGTTAGCCGGCCGCCACCATGGCCGTTCTCAGCCGCCTCCAAGTAGTTGCATCCCAGATCACGCGCCGGAGCCTCGGGAATATGGAGCGCCGAGCCTACGGATCCGCAGTGGCTCAGCTGCAGTACGACGACGACTATTACTACGACGATCAGGATGAAGAGGAGGAACGGAGGAAGGCGACTCGAAATCGGATGCTGGACTCGGACGGGCGGGTCCCGGGGAGAGGTGTGCAGTGGGTGCTGATCGGAGACAGAGGCGCGAAGAAGCACTTGTACGCCGAGAGGCTCTCGAAGCTTCTGGAAGTTCCGCACATTTCTATGGGATCCCTCGTCCGCCAGGAGCTCAATCCTCGCTCTTCTCTCTACAAGCAGGTTAATTTCATTGTTTTCTTTCTCAATTAAATTTCTTTTGCAAGAATTAGGATTTTCTGGTGTAAAAATATTATTTTTCCCATTTTTTGGGAAGAAATTTGATTTTTTTTTTTTTTTGGTGGTAATTTAGATTGCGAATGCAGTCAATGAAGGGAAGCTTGTTCCGGACGAAGTGATATTTGCATTGTTGTCGAAGAGGTTGGAAGAAGGATACTATCGCGGCGAAAACGGATTCATTCTCGATGGGATTCCTCGAACAAGAACTCAAGCTGTGAGTTTTAACTTCTATGACAAGATCAGAATTTTACTTAATGGTTTGTGATTAGAATTTCGGGAAATTTGCAATGTACGCAAATAGAACTGGTTACAAACTTTTAATTAAGTCTCGAGGGAAACTAAACCGCGGCATGATTTCCAGAGAATTTTTGTAATTTCTGTGGGAAATTTGAATTTGTTTGGTTTGATGGAGATATTGTTGTGCTTGTTACAGGAGATTGTTGACCAAATTGCCGAGATTGATTTAGTGGTGAATTTCAAGTGCTCAAATGAGCACTTGGTGAAGAACAATCTAGGAACCCGAAACTTCTCTGCTTGCCGAGAATATCTTAGCATGGGCAACTCCGTTCGAAATCTGAATCTGCAGCCAAAGGAAGAACTTCTGAAATCTTCACCTGCTGATGCAGAGCAGGTATTGCCATTGTTCTCTGTTTACATCCGTTTGATGATTTCGACTTTGTTCTGTTTTATATGTTAGTTTATTTCCATCGAAAATTGTTAGTTAGGACAAGGAAATCATCGAAAAATGGGTAGTAATCTGTTTCTCTCTTATCTCAGACCAAGTCGCTGGAAGATTACTACAGAAAACAGAACAAACTCATCGATTTTCAGATCAAAGCTGCGCCCGGAGAAACCTGGCAAGGGCTGTTGGCTGCGTTACATCTTCAGCATATAAACGCTGTCAGTTCTTCCCAGAAGCTCACCGCGTGATTACGCTTCATCTGTGTCTTTTCCGGCTTTCCTTATCGGTTGCATTCCGGGAGTATTAAGTATATATTTAAGATGTGAGAGTTAGAGTTTGGTTGGAATTCATGAGAGTTGAATGTTCCAACTTAGTTTTGAAATTTTGGTCTTGTAAGTGTTATTTTTGTCACCCGTGGCTTGCAGCATGAGAGCTACAAGTTTGTAATGTATTGAGTGAGACATGAAAAATCCCCTTGTATCGGCGTTTTTTCGTCGAAAAGAATAAATTGAACACTTTCTCTACTAGAATTCGATCACGAATAACACTCTTAACCACTTGAATTTCAGCGTTTTTCCGTTATTTTTGTACAGCGACATCAAAGATACAATGTTGTGACCAAAACCGGAGCACGGATTTACAAACTCCATTGAGGAACAGAAACAAATTATTCATCTGTGTATACTTGTGAATCGTGGACATATTTCTATATATTACAGCTACTCGCTGTTCGTCCAAACTTCCCGGAGGAGTTCATATCTAACAGCAGTTTGATTGCCATTTCCCTTTGATACCCAGCTGGGCTTCGTTGCAACAGGCGAAGACCGGGAAGAATCGATGAAGATTGAGGCCAAGGGTGAGTTCAGTTCATCAAGCTCATCATCACTGGTGTATGATTTTCTGAGCACCGAAGACCCACTTCTTCTCAGCTGTGATTGGCCTCCAACCTCTCCGATAATACTCGCAACGGAAGCTGTTGAGGGTGGCAAATAGACTGTACCAGCTCCGGTGTAGGGGACGTTTGTGACAGTGTCCTCCCCAGCCTCAAGAGCGTCCTATTTTACAACAAAAGAGACCAAAATTGGTTTTGATTTAATAGAGACTGCTTGCTTCTTATGATTGTAACTACAAAATACAAATTCACCAGAAACATGCAGCTCCTCTAAAGAAATTATTTTGAAATGGATGATTACCTCAGATTCCAGGGCTTGAAGCACTACGCCTGGAATTGGGTCGGTGTAAAATTCATCCGGGACAAAAGTGTCGAGAATCCTCTTGATCAGTGGTGCAGAAAATGCAGGGCATACCTTCAAAACAAAATCCAAGCACAATGAATAAGAACTGAAAAATGCTCAGAGAGTCTGATTGAAAGGTCTGAGAATTGTGCTGAACCTCTTTTCTGATGGATTTACTTAAGAGCAAGTCCTTCGGGAGCATCATGAGATCACTCAATGCGTTAAGGAGATGGAAAGACTTGAACGATTTATCTTGTCTCTTGTCATTGTCATCATCGTCATTGACATCTTCAAGTGAGTCATCATCGTCCATACCAAATAGGTCAGTTAGCCATCTTGACCAGTTCCCAATCTGATCACCATGACCATAAATGGAGAAAAAAAGAAGTTAGTATTCCTTACATATAACATAAGAGAGATGCAAATTTGACTAGGTACACTCAGAATAATGAGACTCAGGGATTATGAAGTACAGGATGCGAATTTGATGGAACTCGGAAGTGTTTTGTTCTATATGGCTTTCAGTCCAATGCACATAACTATCTGATTTGAATCAAAGATTTAGTGCACACGTATATACTTTTGCCTAGAGAGATTCATGAATAAGGCTTACCGCACTCTTCAGTTGTGCACCAGCCCCAAAACTTGATTTCCCAGCTGGAATTGGAAGAACCTTCAAATCACTAATGGGATCGGACACCGGATCAGTTGGGATCTCATCAGAAGATTCACGAAGAATAGCATTGAACATTGCCACATCTAGTCTAGCAACAGATTGTTCCATTACCTAAACACATGACAGTGGCAGAGATATCATGCAATTATAATGCCAAATTTAAAAGAGAGAAATTTGCATCGATCAATAACATATGAAACAGTAGATGGCACTTTACTGCAGTGGCGGAAAGCAATCATGCCTATGCACCCTGGTGCGGGTTCAATCCCCACCGAGCCCCCTCCCCTCTAACAACTAACAATTTAACACACTAACACTACCGTTTGTTAAAAAAAACATATGAAACAAAATCATCCTGCGAGATTGCTATTCACAAGATTCAGATATCTTCGAAGAAAAAAAAGATATTTATTAATATCAATACGTAATGATGGAAATATCTGTGATATATGGATATACCAATCTCGCCAACAAAGGCAAGCAGCCACACTCATGTCCCTCAGCTCGTACTGGACAGAGTCTTTCACAAGCATCCCTGAAAGCCTTCTTCCAAAGGTCTAATGAAAAGTTAATTCGCTCTTGATCAATTGAACTAGATGTCCTTTTATACTTTTTCCTCGACCCAGAATCGGCACCTTCACTATTTGCCTTCACAGCGACAGACTGCATATGGGGAGTCAAAGTCTGAAAATATAACAGTGAAAGAATCAGACACAAGACCTCATGAAATTCATTCGATAAGATAGTTTTGAAATTCTAGATTTGAAGAAAATTCAATGCGGAAATACAGAGGAAAAGAGTTATTCTATGACCTGCCACCAGATAGATTCAACTATCCGTGAAAAGATCCACGATTCAATCTTCTCCAGTGTAGACATAAAGGTTTGCGGGTTCTCACAGTCACCAAAACTTCCATTCAAGAGCTTCATTCCTTCTTTCTTCCCAGAAGATGGAGCCTTCCATTTAATTGAAGACGGTACATTATTTTTTACTTTTCCAGCACCATTCCTGTCAATAGAAGGCCCTGCCAACATAGGTAATTTTGATTCACCAGCAACCTGGCTTACTATTGTTCTCAACACGATAGAATTTGACAGCCAGTATGTTAGTCTGCAATCAGAGAGAGAAGGAAAATGAACAAGTGCATCAAACAAACATGAAAACTTAATTCATGTAATTCATATATGCAGTTCTTCTTTGGATCTTCATGCAGTACCCTGATTTTCAAATACCAAAGTTCCACCAATTTGTTAAAAGTTCACACTTAACGATTGAAATCTAACGAGCTCTGGAAACTTTTGCTTCAAGGGATCAATCTCAAAGGCAACATGACTGTAAATAAGACAAAGAAAATGCAGAAAATAAGCACCTCTAGAACGTACCTTGGGACATCATTCCCACACGCTTTTGCAACCAAAACTAGTCCTGAGACAATACTTTTAGCTGCACTGGCCCTCCTAAAACGGGAACTTTCTTTGCAAGCATGAAGATACAGCCTAGAAAGGCGCCGAGCTGGAGCATGGACCTTACTCATGGAACTTCCATGCTCAGCAACTACTGAATAAAGGGCAGCCTCAACAGCCGCAGCTTCTCTCAATTCTCCCTCAAGCAACTTAATTCTGTTTTCCATCTGATGGATTTTGCTTTCTAAGATCACACTTCTTGAATCCCTAGGATATACTTTAGCATCTTTTCTTACAATACCTGCACCATTCTGTGCTTCTCCCTGAATACCAGTTAATGCATTCTTAGCCGAGTCAATCGGTGACCTAACAGACTTAACATGCTTCATATTTTCCTTCGTGCCGATAGGAATTTCCTTTCCATTAGCCTCATGCGCAATGGATGATTCACTTTCCCAAGAATGCTTTTCCTCATTAAAACTTTGTCTTCCATCTCCATTTTCTTCTTGTTGCTTTCTTTCGTTGTCCTCAGTAGAACTATCATCACTAACTGCAGCCTCCAGGCAACCCCTGCCATCAACAACCTTATCATTAACATCGTGAGCTAAGTGATCATGGCCATTGCTTCCCATGCTGGCCTTTCCATTAAAAGATGCTGATGGAGAAGCCTCTGCACCAACAGTTTTTAGGATTCTTGAAATTGAGCTGGGAGAGTTGGCTACTGAAGCATTACCATTTACTGGGCTTCCAGGGTCAGAAGATAGGTCGATTGATGATGAGCATGATGAACTTCCCTTCATATTTTCATGTAGTGCATTCTGAGCCGTTAAATTTGGTTTTTCGAGTCCTAGTTTTGAGTGTAAGGCCTGTTTCTCGTTATCACCTTCAGTGCTATGAAGCCCCGTCTCTTGTCCCATCTGCAATCCAATGCGGAATTGTTAAATGACATATTAGTATATTATCATTTTAGCGGTCACAGTGACAACTTTCCATCCAAAACAGAAAAAATAAAAACTAGGTGAATCATTACCTCTTGTTTTCGAGGATACATAGTGCGATTTGTTTCTAAAGTGGAAGATATTGTTTGAGACGAGTGCGAGGAAACATCATCATCAGTGAAAGAGGCAACTTCCACTTCCTCAACATATTCCTCATTCATCAAGGCCGAAACAGATTCACTGCCAGCATTGTCCAGTGATACTCCTCTCGACAAGCTACCCCTAGATGAGGAGCTAGTGCGGCCCTTCACAACAGGCTGAATCTTGATATACAAAACTGGTTGATCAGTGTTCCTATAGTTCCTCTTACTGTTCATTGGAGCGGTAACGCTTATGGTCTCCTTCACGATACCATGATCTGCTAAATCTATAATGGCAGTGGCCAACAACTGGCCTTTAGGGTTGTCCCTCCGAGGCTCATACAAATGTAACTCTAACAAATTCTTTTGAAATGTATCACTACCACCACCACCTTTAACTGACATATCTCTTAGCAGAGTCACCGGTAACCTGAAAGACTGATTGAATTCAATTTTTCCCTCACCAACAACGGACCCAATTGAGGGGACAACAGGGCTGGTGGTCCCCGAATTGCGGTCACCATTTTCCCACTGAATCAACACAGTACGAAGTGATCTGAGCGACTGTGATGGGGGCCAAGGCTTAATATCCTGAATATGAATGTGATAATCAATTTGAACCGTGCTGCCCCGACGGCTCTTGGCTTTTACTCCTAGACCCATTGTTGCAGAAACACACAGCAGACTTTTCTCCAATGTGTTCAAGAATTCACATTCACAAAGCTTTATACTCCACACACTTGAGATACAAACAAAACCAGAAAATCATTTCAATCAGCAACAAAATTACGAGTTTAGCATTCCTAAATGTCAAAAATATGAATAAAACTGTTACATCTGATGGAAAACAAACTCATTGAAGATCAAACGCCAACACTAGAAAGATTAAAGAACATTAATTTTTAATGAAAAAAGTGACTGAAATTGGCAAAAAAGAGCTCAAAAATCACAAACTGAGCTCACCAACCACAACAATAAGCATCATTAGGAAAAATAATAACAATAATGCATAAATATATTTCACAAAAAATGGCAATAAATTAGGAATTAAGGCTAGAAAAATATTTCATTCGTCACCAAAAAGGTAATAAAAAAGGACGACCCAAGCCAACAGTGCTCCTCACATAGCGAGGGTTGGAGGAAACGTCTATCGTCCAAGGCATTACACTTACTTTACAAAGAGACTGTTTCCACAACTAGAACGGATGACCAAAAAGGTAATGCTTGATGGAAGCCAAACTCATTGAATATCGAACGCCGCCGACACTCAAAAGATGGAAATTAATAATTTTTTAAGAAAAATGCGACTCTAATTAGCACAAAAACAGCTCAAAAATCAAAAACTGAGCTCAGCTACTACAATATTTCCTAAATTTGCTTCTTCAGCATCCGATCCACATACTCCAAACTCACGCAAGCTCAAAGCAAACAGATTTATCACAATGTACGCCATCAAATTAAACAAAAAGCAATAAAATTGCAGATTATCAGAAGCAAATGAAAAATTGATTAAAAAATTAGATGAATAATTAAGAAAAATAAAGATCATTTACCAGTAAATTTAATTCAGTGGCCAAAAATTGGAGAAATGCGTGGGAGCGAGACGAGAGAGACGAATCGTTCTACGGACGGTGGTGAGAGTGAGTGTGCAGCTGATTACGAATTTAAAATAGTGCGGATGTTGAAAAAGGTGAAGCTGACAGCAGCGATTTGGGAATTTCCAAAAAAATTAAATAAAATAATATATTTTTATGGATAAATTGAGGTTTTGAAATTAACCCTTTAAAAAAAAATTTGGTAAATTAATCCCCTGAATTATTTAAAATTAGTCAATTAACCCATTGTGGTTAGATTGCGAAATCAGATCTGTCAAATTCAAGGGTAAATAAGTCATTTCATTATTAATTGTTATTTGTCAGATATAACCACCAATAAAATTTTGACACATGATACAAAATAATTCAAAAATATATAGCATAATGAGAAAACATAAAAAACCAAACGTTTACATAACGAACTATCTCACATTATCATAACACATTATTTTGTTTTCACATGTTACAATTACATTGTTGGTTATAATTGACAAGTAAGAATTGATGAAGGAATGACTAATTTTCCTTTGAATTTCCAAAATAGTGGATAGAATTTACCAATAAGGGGTCAATTAACTTATTTTAAATAATTCAAGGGATTAATCTACCAAGAAAATAGTTCAGAAAATCAATTTCAACTAAAATAATTGTTCACAGTTTATCTTATTTTTATAAGCCCGAGAAAATTTATTATTTCTGTCCAAAGAGGTGATGAAACGACGTCGTGCTGGCGGGGATGTGGTTCGGTGTCTGGACGGTCGTTGTCGTTTCAACGTCGGCTGATTGCGACGGCGCTGCTGAAATGCTCCTCTCACCTAATAAATTACAACTCGTCGTTGGAACTCGGAGAGCGTGTGCAACCGTCGCGCGGAAAGAAAGTTTGACTTGGGCGCTGACTCAGTTGGATCCGAGCTTGAAATGCATGCGAAGACTTTTGTCGTGGTGATGCCCGCGCTTTTGTTGCTTGGCTGGCTTGTACTCGCCGACACACTGCTGTTGCCATCGGATACTTATCGGTCAAGTCGTCAAAACACAACCCGCGAGATAATGGACCCCGCGCTCCCATCAGAATAGCCGTTACATTTTTTTGTTTGGGCCACGGACCACCGAATTTGAGAGTAAGAATTAAAATTGTGTGTGCATGACGTTTGTTCTTTAAAAAATAAGTGTATATTGATATGTTATTTTTAGAATAATGATATTGACATACTATTGATGGTGAATTGATTGTCTGGATTGGAAGTGGAGGATGAATTAGAGATTGGCATGGTAACTAGCTCATTGGTCTTGTTGCTAGAAAAAGGAGTTTGGAAAGTTCTCTGTGCTGATTTTTGGGTTTTGTTTTATGGGTTGAAAATAACTAAAGCTAGAAACTTCTTATGTGGAGGTTGATTCTGCTTTAGTGGTCTCTCTCGTTTATAGTTCTCCTAGCCTTAATCATCATCTCTATGGTCTTGTCTTGGATTGCAGAAGTTTGATAAAAAAAAATTGGAGTTGCGATTTATAACATGTTCATAGCGAGCGTAATTTTACAACTGACAGATCAGCCAAACTGCCTACGCAAATAAGTGATCATCTGTACGTAAGTATCATAAAACTGGAGCTGGAATTGGACCCTTTACCTGTCTGTCTGTCATCAAACTACCTACTTCCTCTGGTAATGGAATCAAGTTTGTATGTGCTTAAAATGTAAGCATATTATGCTACAAGGCATATTAATATATAGTATCTAGAGAAGGAGGAGGAGCTAAGTTAGGAGTAGGTTGAAATGTCCACTTTTACCAAGAACACATTGTCCACTTCAAGGTAGTCAAATTTTATAATTAAGGTTGGGGAAGACAACCAACCTTTGGTTGGATTCTCATATTTAATATTCTAATAATCTCATAATGATTTTTCATAAAGTTTGATATGATTTAGAGTAAGATAATGATTCGAAGCAGACCTGACAAAAGAGTCGTGGTTGTCGTGTTCATATCGTTTTCATGTCGTACTTGTTATCTTAAGAGGGCGAATCGTGTTAAACTCAATTTCTTAACGACTTTTAACATGTGACCCAATGACGACCCAATTCGTTAATGGGTCATGTCAGGTTAACGAGTCATGCAAGAATTTGTCATGTTTAATGTTTAGATATTGCAAACAATATCTTATCGGGTTTTTAGCAAATAACTCGATAACGACCAAACGTGTTAAAGGGTTGACCCGAAACTTATTATTTCATCGTTCGTATCGGGTTAACGTGTCGTGCAATAAATTGTCAGGCCTAAGCCCAAGCATTGTCTACCACCAATATCACAGTTATTATTCCAACTTAACCACCTATTACTAAGTGTTGAGTTTTATCAGAAAATGCATCGGTGATATTAGGAGTGTAAACTCTCGTAAATTATATATTATTTTGTCAATAATTTTTTTGTCAAAATATTACTTTGTCATTTGACTCATATAAGATCATATTCTCGAACACATATAACCCTCTTTTTTCTTTTCATGCATACTTCTCTTTATGTCTAATTTTTTTTATTAAATAAAGTCAGACGAGAATCGAATTTGTTAAACAACAATGTGCATGAAAATTAAATTCAAATTCTTTATTATTATTATTATTATTTTTTTTAATCGAATTCTTTATCTTCCTTATCTTATTTTGTAAGTATCCCACGCCACATTACCTCTTCACACAGTTCTGCAGATTTCTTTTGAAATAAGAAAGCAAAGCACGTGAGCGGAGAAATTGTTCACCTGTCCTTGTAACGTGAGAACCACCATTGTTTTTTTTTTTTTTAATTTTGTTTAATTCCCCACCTTGATTAACTTAATCATACAATTAACAATCACCTTTCTTTAGTAATTAGCGTGCATCTATGATTACCATATTAATATATACTGACTCCTTTTTTTTCCTTGATACAAGCAATGTTCGGGGACCGAGAAGATAACAAGATGACCTCGTGTTTAGTTGTGGGTGTTCGTAACTAATTGAGTTACAAATCTGCTTGTTTTTGTATACCAACTTTAACTCATATCACTAGGATTGGCAAATGGATTGTGTTTGTCGTTATTGTTTCATACATGTTATTTTAACGGGTTGTGTCGTGTCAAACTTGTTATCTTAACGGGTTCTTAATTTGTGATCCGATATTGACCCAAACGGTTCATTATTTTCGTGTCAGATTAACGAGTCATGTAAGAAATTGGCATGACTAATGACTAGATCTGACAAAATATATCTTATTAAAATATATTTTATCAGGTTCTTAACAAATAATTCTATAACAACTTGACTCATAAATGGATTCTTAATGAGTAACCCAATAATGACCCGATTCATCCCGATAACGACCCGATTCGTTAGCAAGTTGCCTTGAAACTTATTTTCGTATCATTTTGTGTTGCGTTAATAAGCCGTGAAAAAATTGCAAGCTTACATATCACCCCAAGGACCAGAGCCCCATACTCTGGAATATCAAACTTCACGACTCACTATTATTTGTACTAATGAAAAGCCCAAACCTAGCAATCAACAACCTTTACATTTTCACACGGCTACGCAGCCAACAGTGAAGAAACGCAGCCCAAATGCAGGCCTACTACCTAGTTTATCTTTACAATCCCGCCTCTTGGAGAAATTTCTCAATGTAACCGTCATACTGCCACATGTTAACGTGATCTCGCTTCTCAGCTGTCGCATAGGCTGTAAGGTCACAACTGACTAGGAGAAGTCTTACGACGTAGAATCGGATTTCTGATCACTATCAGCAGTGGCTTGCACTTGAGCTGCATACTGCAAGTTCCAAAGAACATCCTCGAACGAGGGACGAGCTGCCACTTCTGGAGATATGCATTTTTTTGTTATGGATACCACGATCGATAAAGACTCTTGCGAGCAAGTCGTCAACACAATCGGGTCCACAATTCTTCTTCGACCATCTTGGCTGCCAAACGATGCCTGCATTTTCGGTTCATCGCGACACACATCAAAATTACAGTTCCACATGAAACATTTCGAATGTTATTCTATAAAAATCGAAACTTTACTTTGGCGTACCATTTCATTTAGCAGAAATGTTTCCCCTTTTCCGCTCACGATAGGCCCAACCAGTGATTCGAGTAGGATAAATCCGAAGTTGTAAACATCACCCTCCATATTTGTTTTATTCCTGCAAAAAGGAACAACAAAACTAACTATTTATACTCAACTTTTGAATTGTTAAAACTGCAGTAATCTGCTGGAAAGCTACTTTGTAGACAATAGGTTACATTCTTACCACGATTTTGTTTTCGGGCCTTCTCCCTTTGCCTGCAGAAGAAATAGAACGGCATCAGAATAACTTGGAACTGTACTTACGAATGCAAAGTCGAAAAGTAAAATGAGTGAAGAAACATGCCACGAGTTTTTCACTTTCATCTGTGATGATGGACATTCCATAGTCACTCAACTTTGCGATCCGATGCTCATCAAGCAATATATTGTTTGTTTTCAGTCGGTTGTTGAAGCAACCTGGAATAACCCCGGTGTGAAGAAAGTCCACGGCCTTCGCAACTCCCATGAGAATTGCCAATCTATCAGACCACTTGAGAACCTTCTCCGGATAGTTTTCTACACATATGCGCACAGCTTGGTTAGAATTTGAGAGAATTCCATACAAACCCTATGATAAACTTTAAAAATACGCTTCCACGCACACATGCAAATACTGACCTGACAGATAGGTACGGTAGTTCCCACCAGAGACAAATTCATTTACAAGGAAGACTCTGTTCCCACTGGAATCATCGTGTCCACCAGTGTCGATGCAATAACCCAAGAGGCCTGCCAAGTGTGGATGATGAAGCTTGGAGAGCAAATCCAGCCGAACTTTAAGGTTTTGAATTGAATATTTCTTCAATATAGTGAGAGATCGGATTGCAACATAGGTCCCATTTTCCAACCTTCCTTTGTAAAGCTGAAAGCAAAAGAACGAAAATAGCAGGTCAAAATCAAGAAGCAGGAGAGCTTAAGAGATCACTAAATAATTTGAGCCCATTACACTCCTATCCTGGTTATTACTCATACATTTGATCTTGATAGTTAAAAAATTGGATATTTCAAGCAAACTGTTATA